GCTGTGTGTCATGTGGGATACAGTGTCCTTGACAGCCTTCTCACAACACAATGTGTGACTGCAGAACTGTGTGTGAAATGTGGGAGAATAAGTTTGGGGGATTTTTTTTGTAATGCAAAATTACCCTCCAGGTATGGCTTACCTAAAATCTAGGTGCTGAGTCCTCTGTTACTTTAGTTTAGCTACTTGATAAGTGAGGACTGAAGAGAGACTTCAGACCTTTGGGCCCTAGAGGAGGTGCAGACTTTTGAGTGCTTCCGTCTGAGTGTAAAGTTGACGTCCTGACCGGTGGTTTTGCATTTTGGTGCTGTGTGTTCAGGACAGCAGAACAGCACAGCATTTTTGGAAAGCATGCAGGAGCTGCATCACTCCTTTCCTACTGCTGCTCGAGGGTCGAGTGCTAGCTTTCTGCCAAGCTTCATTTATTGATTGTCTGTCCTTTTCAGAAAGGAGATAACAGGCAGAGGGAGAAGGCTGTGAAAACCTGGAGTGGTCATACAAGTAATTGCTTTACCCATTCTGCTCCATGGGTCCCAACTTGCAAATATATTACTTGTCAGGAATTACCTGTTCTTTTTCTACCACTTGTTACCTTTTTGCTGTCTAGTGCCTTCTATTCTTCCTTTATTTTTCAATTATAATTGGAACAACAGCCTGTGGCCCTGGCAGCAGGGCTTTAAAAGGCAGAAAGATGCATGGTTGTAAAGCCTAGTTGTGTAAATATTAGGTTGTTATATTGGAGCTTAAGGGGAAGAATAATTTAAACTTTTTAAGATTTCTTTTTGTTCTTTCAGGATCCTTACAGAAGCAGAGATTGATGTGCACCTTGTAGCTCTGGCAGAGAGAGACTAATCACCATTCACATTTCCATTGTCTGTGCTTCTGGCCAGGATGTTTGGTGAAAAGAAAACACTTATTAATGGCTTTAGATTATGGGCGGAAAACGGTGTTCGCTATACGATGTATTTTACTCTGTACAAATAAAACAGAGGTTTTTGAAATACTTCATGTCTCCTTTTAATGTAGTTTTTTAAACTTTCTATGAAATTCTCATCAAAATTCTTGCTCACTTTGAGTATCTGTGATGGTTCATGCCTTTTAGGGGTATTTTAAGAGAATTTTTATATTCCGAGTTGTATTTTTCATCTGAGCTATTTGGCTCCTAGTGTAAAGTTATATATCCGTTTCTGTGGTGTGTGGGTCTTGTGCTAATTCTTACATTCATGTTCATTCTCTCCTTGCCCTGATGTTGAATGCTTTACAACAGTACTGGTTTAATTATGGGGAAATTAAGAAGATCTTAATCTTTGCTCAGATTTGGACGAGGATATAGGACAAAACTAGAAGGAAAAAACTTGAGATGTGAGTCCTAGTCCGATCCTTTAGACTGATTTATTTGGGGTGCAAGTAGTGAATTTAACAGATGTCTGCTATAATTAAACAGCTCTGAAGCTAACATTTATGTAGGGAACATATCCTGTATGGGATATGGGATATGGGATATACTCTAGGATTTTGGCTGTTAGTCACCTACCAGGTTTTGAGGCTTTGGGCAGTGCCAGAAACGATGTTGGGGCTAGATGGGGCCAATAGATAGAGTCCATCAACAAGAATGTGTGTGGGAAGCAATTCCCCTTGCTCCTTCAGCAGTTTTCGGTTAGGAGAGAACAGTGCAAAAACTTAAGGTCAAGAAATACACATTTTTGTTTTGTTTCAATTGAAGAGGTTCCAGCTTCAGCAGCCAAAAGGGAGATGATGAAGTTGTGAGAGAAGAGACACTGAGGAGAAAGGGAAGATTACCATGTGGTTTTAGTTGTTGGGTAGATACCTGAGTCCTCTGGAAAGAATGCCAAGCTAATACAACAGCTCCTTACCTTGATTCCTCTGCTGTGCTGTTCCTATACTGGCTCTACTCCAGAATTCTCTGATTTTTTTCAAGACCTTTGTGGAAGGGCCTCATAAGTCATCAGAAATGGGTTTTTGCATTTTTTCTTTGTGTTTTACAGGTAAAGCCCCTTGAATGTGTATTTTTCAAGTTTACTGTAACAAAGGAGATGCAGTTCTGTGCTTGGTGGCTTTCATAAAAAATAATGCTAACCTTACGTGATGACTGAGTTGAGGAGATTCAGATGTACTGGGAATTGGTGACTTGACAAAGCTACTTGAATTCATGCCTCCAAATTTCAGCTTCCCTCGTGTCAGATAGTGAAGTATAGATAAACTGAAGCACCCCTGGTTCTGGTTTTGGATTAGTTATGCAAGAATTCAGTGCCGGTTTGTGCAGCAATTGGCACATTTAGGAAGGTCTGTGTTTCAGCTGTCAGTGATGGCTGAGTTTCTGACACCCCCCCAGGACCTTCCTGATGCTCCAGTTGTATAACAACCTGGAATCTGACTAGGCTTAGGTCATCATTTACTCTGACATAAAACATAATCCACTGATAATTTGTTCTTGATCAGCTTTAGTAAGATATGGAAAATTTCACTAATGACTTCTTGAAGAAAAAGGAATATGACAATCAGGGAGCCGTGTAACTAGAGCACATTTGCATAGTATTTAGTATCAAAATTCCCTGCGACTCCTTTAATTCTCAATTTTGGAGCTTGTATGGGATTGTATAACTCAGGTGGTGGTTCTGAAAGCAGTGGGTGTTTGTTCATACCTTGCCTCTTTTGCAATGCAGATCATCCCATCTTGTGTTCAGAGATGGTGAAATAAGCTCTCTACTTACATTAACTGTGAATGTTGCCCTTATTTTATAAGCAGAGTGAAAATTGCAGCAACTGAAGTGTCATTTTTTCTAGTATTTTGCCCTGTAGTGAAAATTCATGGTTGTGTTTTCTTACTAATGATGGGGATTTTTCTTTTTCAGTCAAAGCTTTTTTGTTATTGAAGATAAGGCAGCAGTGCAGGTGGGGATACCTGACTGAATGGGAAAACCCCATGTGTTACACATAACACATAATTACATTCTCACACCCTGGAGCAAACAGCACCTGCAACCAGACTGTACCAGCCACGGCTGGTGTTGAGCTGTACCTGGTATCACCTGCTGTTCCAAACCTGGCACTCACAAAGAAACTAGAGCATGCATGGTACAACCCTAAGGCTTCTAGTTTGGGTAGAGCTTTTCAAGAGTGATACCAGGCTTGGGATTGCTCTGTGTGTTTGTGGTTTGTTGTGCCAGTGCTGAAAACTAATAGATGCAGTTACAGTGTGAATGCGCAAGTAGTTAAGAAGGAACAGGATCAAGTCTTATCTGCATACTAAACCTAGATCAGTGTTACCTGTACTAAATTCAGATGGGCTCTGCACAGCCTTGTAACTGTGTCCACATTATATTGCCAGTGTTCTTTCTGTGGTATAGTGTAAGGATGCAAATGCCAAGTATATGCAGTCAGCTTAGGTAAATCAGTATTTATTGAATTCAGAAACTCATCTGGGTTTCTTATGAGTAACCCCAGAAGCACTAATTCTAGACAGAAATAGCTCAATGGGGAATCCTGACATAACTTGTTTGTGGGTCATCAGGAATCTCTGATAGCTTCACCTCTTATATTGTGGCACCCAAAACTGCACACAGGACTTGAGACAAGGCCACACCACTGCAATGTTGAATGGGACAGTCACCTCCCTCAACCAGCTGGCAGTGCTGTGCCTGATGCACCCCAGGACATGGTTCATCCTCCTGGCTACCAGGGCACACTGCTGACTGATGTTCAACTTGGTGCTGACCAGGACCCCCAGGTCCCTTCCCACGAGGCTGCTCTCCAGCCTCTCATTGCCCAGTATACATGCATCCAGGGTTGGCCAGTCTCGGGTGCAGAATCCAGAACTTGCCCTTCTTAAACATCATATGATTGGTGATTCCCCAGCCCTCTGATTTATAAAGGTCTCTGCAAGGCCTTTCTGCCTTCCAGAGAATCAACAGTTCCTCCCAATTTTCTGTCATTGCCAAACCTACTTAGCATACCTTCAATTCCTGTGTCCAAGTCATTTATGAAGATACTGAAGAGCACTGAGCCTGAGATGGAGCCCTGCAGAACCCACTAGTGACCAGTCACCAGCCTGATGTAATCCCATCAACCATAACCCTTTGTGCCCAGCCATGTTTATCCAGCTGTATGCTGGATATTTTGTCCAGAAGGATCCTGTGATAGTATCAAAAGCTTTACTGAAATCTGGAAAGTTTACATCAACTGGCTTCCCTTGATCAGCTAGGTGGCTTACCTTGTCATAAAAGGAAATAAGGTTTGACAAGAAGGACTTTCCCCTCAGGAAACCATGCTGGCTGTGACTGATGACCGCAGCTGACTTCTGACATTTTGGAATTACCTGCTCCTGTGCCCTCAGAAGTTGATGCTTAAAAAGTGACCCAGCACTGGTGGATCCCAGAAACTTCAAAAGTGTTTTCCCAGGGGACCTTACTAACTAGTTTCCTGGGGAATCTGAAGGCTGCTCTCCTCATGTCCAGGGTTGAAGTTTTGCTGGCACTTTTCCTCCTGTAACAGAGATTTTAAACTCAATTGCTTTGTGGTCACTGTGGCCAAGATGGTCACCAATCACCACTTCACTCACGAGATCCTCTCTTAGCAAGCAGCAATCATGTTAAGGCAGGCAGTAGTGAACCTGTGTAGGATTTCAGACACTTCTTAAGAGCAACATGTGGTACTGAATCAACTTGTAATGCACAATGTTAGGCCATATCTTCTCACTGTAAAGCTGATGACAGTCTAAGGACAGAGAGGTGGAGGGGGAGTTCAGGTAGAGCAAGTACATGTAGATATATTACAGCAATTTTAATGACATGGAATAACATGTAGCATTCTTCTTCTCTGCCTTCTCTGTCCTGTTTCTCATTAAGTCAATGTCCAGGTTTAACAAATAAGAATTATTTTGGTTCAGCACACATTGTTGGAAGATGAAAGAACTAGGTCTGTAGCTTGCTGGCATCTGATGAAGAAAAGTATTTAACTTTCCCATTTTTTTCCCTGACACAGAAGCAAATCCTGCTATTTTGAGTTCTGCTAAACAGCAGCCTTATTGGGTCATGAGATCAAGTTTTATGAAGTATAGCCATGACAGTATTCATGTTTTCTAGAAACCTCCCCACACTACCAGGGTAATATCGGCAGGGGCATTGCTTTTCATTTTGTAGTCAGTGATTTATTTTTTTCAGATGGGAAGTTTTTTAACTGTTCTAACTTGTTCCAGCTGGTTCTTGTTGGTAACAATTTGTTCTGTTCCCTTGTTTTGCTGTAACCTAAACTATCTGGAAACAATGCAAGACATCCTGTAGTTCAGGATCTGTTGGAACAGTGAACTTGAACTTCTCATGCCCAAACTAAAACAAGGATCATAGCATACTTATGCAAAGCTGTTTAAAACAGTGTCTGGACTTTGTTTATTGTAATTCTCACATTTCAAAATCCCCCACAAACACTTCAACCTGTTATTTGTAGTATATCTATACAGATAAACTTCCATTTCTAAGTGACTGTCAAACCCCTCAGTTATTAGCAGTATTTGCTGCTGTTCATGGAGCTTTTAGCATAGTAATCTTTTATCTTACCCGTGTCACCATCATCTATGAAAATTCCGTGTTGCTATGTTAAATATGGGGACTATAATGTACTTGACTATAAGCCTGGTGAATAAATAGTATAGTATAGTATATTTAGTATATCACTAAATCAAAATCCAGCTAACTGCTTGTCTGAATTGAGTCATCTGCAAAGAAGTGTGTGTTTCCACTTTTTGGGGATAGTGTTTTTCTCCTGGTCCTATTTAGAACCTGCCAGATGTAGCTGAGCTTTCTGGCACAGCAGATGCACTACACAGCCATGCTCTGCAACTCACTGTGGCTTAGCTGCTGGTTCATTGAACCACAAGCCTCTGGGATAAAGCTTCCTAGCTAAGCCTGGAGCAGCATTGTATGCAGGGCAGATTAGTGCACACAAGCCAAGCTCTAATTATTTTGCCAGCAAATTGTATCTATTT